TTGTGGCATGTTTTTTTTTTTTTATCCCCTTTGTCTCGCTTTGGCAGGCGTTTGTTGTTGTAGAGTAAAAATGGCGTTCAAAGGCAAATAAAAACGAAGATAAAGAAATCGAGAGATAGCTAATATAGTAATTAATATGTGTGTATGCAAGTTTTTTATAGTATTTTGTTAGTTTTTTTTTACCTTTTTTTGTTTGTTTTATATTTCATTTTCTTTTTTTCTCCGCAACCGGGTTTGAGACACACACACTCACACCTTTTTCTAATACCGATAACTGCTGTGGACACACACACACGCGAAGCTGTGTGCAGAGTAACCCTTTTAAGACTACTCTTGTACCTATTTTGTGTTGTCAAAGTGTCTTTTTCTGTGTGTCCTGGTCTGATTTTATTGGTGGTCCTTTATTTATGCTGATTGATTTGATCCATAATCCAATTTGAGTAGGTACCATGTATTGTTTATTATGGACATATGGTACCGGGGTGAAAAGAAATAAGGTGAACGGCAGTTAGAGTAATGGAATGAAATAGTTTGAGGTAACGGAATATTTAAAATACGGTTGTTGTGGTTTAATTTGTTTGAGCTATTGTTTTTTTTTCCTGATGATTCCTTTTTGTTTTCCATTTGCTGTGGTCATAAGTAATTGTGAAATTCGTCTTGAAAAGGAATATGGTGATATAAGGAAGGGAATTAGCTAACTCTTTTGCTTGTTTGGTCTATAGGTTTCTGTTTAATCATTTGTGTACCTAGATTGGTACATCTGTTTATCTGTTAACATCTTCTTGGACGTGTGATGTGGTGCTGGAAAGTAAAAAAGTGTTCATGTTTTCAGTTTTGTTACTGCTTTGAGTCGATTGATATCTGTTCCGTCTTGATTTTTTTTTTTATCTGAGTGGCAGATGATGTTGAAAGATTGATCGACAGCGAGAACATCACTACTTAATGGTTCTTGATTTTCTTTTACTAAAGGGATGAATGATTTTTCTTTAGGCGAGTATTAAATCCTGCATGGGATGAATATTGTTTCTTGATTCTTTTTTTTTTATTATTATTCAGTGTTTTCTCACTTTTTCGGTTTCTCTCGGTGTATATAACTATGGGGGCAGACCCTATTGGTGAAATTATTTACGAATTTACTTTTTTTTTCTCAGCGTTTGCATTGCATGCGCCTTCAAAGAGGAGTGGGATGGGGGTACATGAGTTTTTTTTTTTTTTTTTTTTTTTTTGTTAATCCTTTAAACAGCTGATCATAGTGATACTACTGAAGAGACGTTTGCTTCTTTCATTTTTCTTCTTTCTACAGTGGATACAGGTAAACGACTGTTTCGTTTGTATCACATTATTGGGTCGATCATCGAGTTTACCAAGAGTGTAGTAACCTCTGAAATTGAGGATTTCTTTTCTGTACACGTAAAGAGGAAGAAAAGGGATCTGTAAAAGAACGAGTTAAGGTAACGTTTTAATAAGAGAAAAAGAAAGCACGAAAGAAAGAAAGGGGTGTGGGGGTGTGGGGGAAAGAGCAAAAAAAAAAAAGAAAAATGAAACAGAGAGGCAACTTTTACTCATTAATCTTTTCTCTTGTTGTTTTTCATTGCTAACTTATTCATTTCTCTAATACACTGATATATATATATATATATATTACTGTAATTAGTAGAGATGCTGGGGTTAAGAGCGAGGAAAGAACTCTTTTTCTTACTTTTGTTTTTGAAGGTAATAAGTTTGTTACAGACGTTTAAAAAAAAAAAAAGACTTTTTTTTTGGTGGTTTGCTACTCACGTTGAGAAAAAATGGAAATGGACTTCAATAAGTGGGGCCATTAGAAAGGACATGGGTAAATACGTGTGATGGCATGAGTTGGTGAGTTGTATAGCATATAGTTTATATATATATGTATGCATACGTATTCACTACCACTGATATTGTTGATACATTCTATTATTTCCTCTTGTACGTCTCTGTTTGTTCTGAAGACGAACACCACAAACACAAACAGAGATGTATATACATGCATACATTTTTTTTCTTTCTCGGCGTATATGCTTTCTGAGGTTTCTTCATTTTTCTTTTTTGAAGTAAAGCTACTTCTTTTTTAAAGCGTTTTCTTTTTTTTTTTCTTTTTTGCAAAGCCAATGAAATCACGTGGGTAGTCCTTATCAGCTACAACACTTTTTTATTGTTTTTTTTTTTTTTTTTTTTTTTTTTTTTTTTTTTTACTGATGAACAACGTTTTGCTGCTGTATGGATTATAAAATCCATACACACTCGCAATCACGAACAAAATTGACTCTTTTCTGAGTAAAGGGCAAAGACGATAGGATTAATATGATAACGCCCTCTTCAGGGAAGTTAAAAAGAAAAAGGAAGAAAAAAAAAAAACAATTAAAAAGGATGTATTTCAAGGGATATGAAAAATAAAGGAAAAGAAATAAAAAAAAAACAGTAAAGCTTTGAAATCATTTTTATCATGAATGAATAAATAAAAAAAAAGGGGAAATCGTACGTACGCGCAAAAAACCGTATGTGCGCGCAGACTGACATTCTTTTTTTTTTCTCGACAATAACACGAATTTCATTATATGATTTTTACCATATATATATATATATATTTCTCTGTAATGATGATGATGATTTCTTATGACGTATTTTTTATTTTTTACTTGAAATTTGTAAAATATTATTTTTTTTTTTCTCTCATGTATCTTTTGGTTTATTTTATTTTTTTCTTTCGGTGGTGGTGGGGGTCCAAATATATATATGCACGGAATGTATACAACAGTTGGACCCATTAGGTAAACAAAAAAAAAAAGAAAAAAACTTTAGGTCCTTCGCCAAATAAACAACCTTTTCCTTCTGTTTTCTGGGGTTTACAGAGGAACAGGTGTGTACATCATATCAGAAACGAAAGAAGGAAAAAAAAAAGAAAAACTGTCTCTCAGTCATCTTGTTAAAAACAGATGGCAACAACAACAACAACAAGTTCATATACTCCTGCTGAAGTACGTGGTGAAGTTAATGAACTTCGACTGCAACTTCGGGATCCCCAAGTGGAGAAGGATCCTATTCGTAAACGTGATGTTCTTCGCAAAGTGATTGGACTTATGACAATGGGAGTTGATACCTCAAGTCTTTTTTCGGAAATGATTTTATCATGTTTTACAACTGATATTGTAAGTAAGAAACTCATATATTTTTATCTTATGAGTCGTTCAGAGAATAATGCCGAATTGACACTTTTGAGTATCAATACATTAATGAAAGAATGTGGAGAAGAAAGTCCCTTGGTACGTGCACTCGCTTTGCGTTCTCTCGCATCACTTCGTTTACCACAACTTTTTGATTTTTTAATTCCTCTTGTGAAAAAATGTTTAAGTGATACTTCACCACATGTACGTAAAACTGCATGTTTATGTGCATTGAGGGTTTTTCGTATTTCTCCTATTGAGTTCCACAAACAACATTTTTTAGATCGTATGCTTGGAATGCTGCGAGATCCTGATCCATTGGTTTACTGCAATGCTCTCTCTGTACTTGTAGAAGTCTCACGAGATGCTGAATCTAATGGTACCACAGAAGGAGTATTTAAAGTAACCAAACCAATTTTATATCACTTGTTAAACAAGATGCGTAATGCACCTGAATGGCATCAGGCACAAATTATTAATCTTGTTCTTCGTTATACCCCTAGTAATGAAGAAGAAATGTTTGATATTATGAATCTTCTTGAAGAACGTCTTCAAAGTCATAATAGTGATCTTATCCTTAGTGTGTGTGATGTATTTTTCCATCTCACTCAGAATTACCCTGCGGTTCATCGTCAAGTCTTTGATCGTCTTAAATATCCACTTCTTACTTTAGTTTCCTCTAGTTCAAAAGTGGAAGTTTCCTATGTTGTGCTATGTCATATCAAGTTACTTGTTGAACGTGATCCAGCTGTATTTCAAGATGTTTATAAAATCTTTTATTGTCACTATACAGAACCCACCTATGTGAAGGCTGTAAAAATAGATATTCTCGCTATGATAGCTGTTTCAACAACAGCAGAGGCCATTCTGGAAGAATTTCTCGCCTATGCGTTGGAACGAGATGTGGCTGTGGTACGTTTGGCTATTGCCGCTATGGGACGTGTAGCCCTACGACTTCCATCTACCGCATCTGTGGTATTACAATATTTTATTCTTTTTCTTGAAAGTGATACCAATCATGCACGAGGTGCAACACTTGCTGTGATGAAAGATTATTTACGTAAATACAGAGATACGGCTGTAGTTCAACCTTTTTTAGATGCTCTTGTGACTGTCTATCATGAGATGAATTTTACAGATGAGGAGAGTAAAGTGGCATTAGTATGGGTAATGGGTGAATTTGGGGAATATATTGAAGATGCCCCTTATATTCTTGAAGAGATGTGCCATAAAGGACTTTTTACAGAAACGCCAGAGTTTCGTTTACAGTTTCTCACTTCAGCCGTTATGCTTTTCTTTAAAAGACCACCAGAGATGCAACAGTTACTTGGGAAAATGTTTAAACTTCTTATTAATGATTTTTCACATGCAGATGTGCATGATCAAGCTTTACTTTATCATCGACTTTTACGTCACAATCTGGCAGCGGCGTCTAAAGTTATATGTTCTCCAAAAGTAGAAATAAAAGAATTTGTTGAAGATCAAAATGCCGCATTACGTGATAAACTCTTTGAAGAGTTTAATACTCTCTCTGTAGTTTATCATCAACCAAGTGATAGTTTTATGAGTTCCCTATCTGCTGTAAATGATGAGGAAGATGAAGAAGAAAATGATGATGATAATGATAATAATGATAATAATAATGATCCAGTAGCAGAGGAAGAAGTGATATCAGAGGCAGTAGTGGTAGGCACAGGTGAAGAGAATAAAAAAGCAAATGAAAATACTTTTTTATGGCAAACCAATTCCCAAACACTACTCTCTAATAATTTTGAACTCTCAGATGAAGTAGAGATGGATCCACAAGAATTTCAACGTCAATGGGGAAATTTGGATAACAGATACACAGCAACGTTGCAGTTACAGTTGCGAGCTGTGCCTAATGATATTGAAGTATTTGAAGAGACATTAGAAGAATGTGGGATCATTACATTAGCATCCGGTATGCAAGGAACTAGTACACATAAATATTATCTCTATGCTCAACAGGAGGGAAACCATGAGACATACTTTTTACTAGAACTCTTTCTACACAACTCTGGTGATGTGAACATCACTGTTAAATCTGAAAATCCTAATATGCAGCAGTTCCTTGTGCTTCTTAGAAGAATAATGGAACAGTTTTAGGCGTCCAAAAAAAAGAAAAAAAAAAAGAAAATGGTTTTTAGTCAAAGTAGTACAAAAAAGGGAAGATAAGGAAGGAAAAAAAAAAAAAAAAGAGATGAGGACATCATGAGTCCATGATTCACTACTTTTTATCGCAGAAAAATTTTTTCCTTTTTTTTCTTTATCCTTGTGTTTTTCTTTCTTTCTTTCTGAGTCTCTTTTTGTTGCCCTGTATTGCTGAGGAGAGAGATTTATTTTTTTTTTCTTTTTTTTTTCTTATATTTGTTTGCGTCTTCTCTTTCTGGACAGGAACGGTGAAGGAGGGAAAAAAGGGAGGTGGAGACACTGCTGTTTTCTGGCGTTTTTTTTTTTCTAGTTAGTGTGTGAATTCAAACTCAACGAAAAAAGATAAAAAAAAAAAGGAGGAACTGAGAAAAAGAAAAAGAGAAATAAACAAGGGATAAACTCAAAGCAAAAAAAAGAAGATAGAAAAAGTAGATAAACCATTCGCAGCACATAGCCGACTCCTGTTTGAAGCTAGGGAGAGACATAGAGAAAACAATATATATATATATTATTTTTAAATATTTGAAAGAAAGAAAAAAAAAAAGAAAAATGGATGACAAGCAAGTATTCTTTGTTCAGGGAACCGATGGTAGGAAATTTAAAATAGTGATCCGTGGAGATCTTGGCAAACTGAGTGTAGGAAAAATACGGCGATGTTTGAAGTCTTATGGTGTTCCTGATGGACAATTGCTGCTTTTTAACAATCTTGTACTTCAAGACGATGCTGTAGGCGCTGACTTTGGTCTTTGCAATAACGCCATGCTGCACCTTGCACTCTCGCATGATGATGAGATGGGAGAAGAAGAAAGTGGAGTAAATGAGAGAACAAGTGATGTTCCTGTACAGGCGATGCGAGATGGTAATCGTAGTGGTACATCACCCCCTTCCACATTGGTAGATTCAAAAGATGGTAATTCTCATTTCGGTTCTTTACGTGAACGTGGATCTTCTTTTACTACTCATGTAGATCCAGAGAATAGTTTTGATGTTCGTCCTACCGTACAAAGTAGTACTGCAGCTCTTTTCGGTAATAAGACTAGTAATATTATGGATAGCAGCGGCACTAATACCGCCTTGGAGGTGGAGAATCTTCAACTACGTGAGGAAGTACAACGTTTACGACGAGAATTAACTGAAGTACGAGATCAGCAAAAAACTCGAGGTGGTCGTGGAAGTACTAGTAATAACAGTTTTGGAAAACGACAGGAGTCGCCAAATACAGATCTCTTACAAAGTGCAAAAGCTAATTTACAGGAACTTGGTGATGAATTGGGTTTGTCCCTGCAATTTGATATGAATCTTACCTGTGTAGTTGGCACAGATGATCGTCATACAGTTCTTATTACCTTTGATCATGCTACGGAGCGACTCTATATATACTCTACACTTCTTACGCAGTTACCAGATGAACCTGCAGTGCGTATTAAACTTTATGAATTACTATTAGAAGGATCTCTACTTGGACGTGAAGTGTGTGGAGGTGGAATTGGAATGTCACTACAGAATGATATTGTATTGCTCTCATCCACTATCCCACTGCGATATTGTAGTTCGTCAGCTCTCAAAGATATCATGCCAGTGTTTGTGGAAACACTGGAGCGTTGGCGTTCTCTTGTAAATGAATTAGTTGAGTAAAAAACTAAAAAAAAAAAAAAAA